TGATATTAGCATGATCAAAATATGAATTATATATACATAAGTATTTTCTATATGTATTATGTCAACTAACATCTATTATCATGAAAATTATTAATTTGACATATTTATTTCACGTCATACTTATACAGTGATAACTCTATGTGTGTATATATATGTATGTATATATATATATAGCTTTACCAATTTAAGTTGCCGAGATGTGTGAACTGGGTGATGAAAAAGGAGAGCCACCAGACACATCGTTTTACCCCATCTAGATCTTGAGTGATTCGAACATGTTTCAATAATGAATATATATATTCTCCAAATCCATTTTCTTAAAAAATAAATAGAGAGAAAATAAGGTATTATAGAAAATTTTTGTTTTATTTATCCATCTAACTTGTGCTTAATTAAAAATTAAGGAAAGATAATTAATTGATTAGAGAAAATTTATATTTTGTTTAATATATAATATATTTTTTAATTAAAAGAGAAAAGAAAGGAAAGGTATTTTAATAATTTATTAAAGGAGCTACATATAAATTTTATTTAAAGGCGAGCGGGATATATATATATATATATGTCGACATATATATATATATAGTAAGTATACATGTATGTTAAACGTCGGCCGTTAATTGCCTTGGAAAGTTTAAAGGAATATTTTGGTGAGGAGGACATTAGTAGACAAAGCATTCTTGGCTTTGACATTGCGAGAATGTTATATATTATACATACATATATACATCTATATATATATATATATATATATACACGTATGTATATTATACCACCTTTTTTTTTAAGGGAACAACTAACAAACTGATGATCGGTTAATCTCCTTTACGTATTAATATTCTTCTTCTGATAATTGTTAATTATCCTCTTTTGGCTGATTCAAACGATGTCCCATTTTCAATTTCGCACACCATATCTATATATATATATATATATATGTATATGTATATGTATATGTATATGTATGCATTCTCAATACTAGAATCATGTCCTTTATTGTGCCACTAGCCAGTTTCCATGTCCTATTTGAGTTTGAAATTGTTATATATATATATATATATATATATATACACACACATATATTATTGTCATTGACGTTACTATTCCTGTTAGATGAAATCAAGTTTTCATTTTTTATGTCTTGGGTTTACTTTGCTAGAATTTTTTAATGCAAGAAAACCATAATATTAAAAAGATTAATTTATTCATCAACAAATAAAAGAATTTGCTAAACTACGTGATTATTCCATGTATTAATTTGGTGCAACATAAAAAATTAGTAGCCCAATTAATGTACATTTAATGGTTGCAAGGCTCACCACGTATTTGAGTCACCATCCACAAGCATGTTTCTTTTTAATATTTAATTCATTAAGGTCAAATTTTTAATCTATTAAAAATTATCGTAATTAATCATATAATATTTTTTTTCATTTCGAAATTTAATAAATTTATTGAGACTTTATTTAATTGTTACAATTCCGTTAATATATTATGAATTAAATCATTAATTTTATTAAATTAAATATTATAAATTAATTATAATACAATTACAAAATAGTAAGTAGTGGGTTTATAAGCATGCCTTTTACAATATTTTTTATTTATATTAGATTTATTTAGCGAATGAAATACATTAATTTTTATTTAACATAAATAACGAGAGACTATAATTTAATTACTTCATAATATTATCAAAATGATATAATTAAAAAATTAATAGATAATATCTATTTTTATTTTTTTGATATCTGATTACATTTAATAATAAAATTTACTACATAGTTATTTTCTAAAATACAAGAAAATTTAAATTAAATTATGTATATAAAAATATCTTAATAATTACAATTTAAAATTAAAAATAAATATAACCTAACTCCAACCACAAAATGATCAAAGATGATATATAACTCCAATTTATTATTTCATTTTCAAAAAAAAAAAAAAAAAGAAAAGATGGGTAGTTATCTTTTGTTTGCTTGGCAGCATCAACCATCTTCTTCCTTCCCAATTTGGATGATTTTTGGTGTAAGCTACCAAACTTCACGAATGGACAACTCTCTCAAAAAATAAAAATACAAAGAGACAGAGAAGCTCCATCGTTGAAGAATGAGGTCAAATTACTTAACGTTTGAATCTTGTATATATTAAACTAATTGTTGACCAATTAATTTTATATATTTAATCTAATATTGATATTTATTTATATATTTTATGATTTAAATAAAGTATTAAAGAATCTTATGATAATTTATAATTAAATTGGATAATATTATGATAAATTTAGTACCAAAGTTAGATGTGACAGGTATAATAATTTATAGGATAGATAATTTCTCATTCGAATTTTAAAAGTTAAAAAAAAAATTTCTGTGTTCGATAAAATTTCAGAATAATTTTTATAATTTTCTCTTGACAAGGATAGATTAGAAAATTATTAAGAAAAGGGCCACAGAAACGGCCCAAGTTGAATGAATCCAATTCTATTTCCACTCAAAACGGTGCGTGCAACAGTAATTATCTGCGACCATAAAACGACGTCGGTTGAAGTACCTCCAAATTCTAAATCTTTCGGAAGAAAAGATATTTATTTTTTCGGCACCTCCGCCACATAGGAGTTGTAGCTTTCTCATCTTCTCAAGCTTTGACACATTCTCTTTTGTCTCTCTTGTATCTCCCTCTCAAAATATAAAATCTTTACATTATACATATAAATTTTCTCTCGATTTCCCACTCTTTTTCCCGAGAAAATCACTTTTTTTTTTTATTTTTATTGTTTTGTTACAATACTCACAAGGAGAGCTGCCCAAACAAGCCACAAAACCAGGCGGAACTTTGAGAGAGAGGGGGGGAGAGAGAGAGAGAGAGAGGAAAGACACTTTAAAAGGCCAGAGAGGAAAGATAGGAAACCAGAAAAATACAGAAACCCTTTTTAAGGAGTCTTCCCCATTTTGATTGTTAGGGTTTTAATTCCTCTTTCTTCAAATTTCGTTCTCATCCGTTTAAGAGGACGAGGATCTGATGGCGTCGCAAGGGCAGACTGGAATGGACGTGGCCGTACTGGATGATATAATTCGACGGCTGACGGAGGTCCGATCATTGAGACCAGGGAAGCAGGTGCAGCTCTCTGAGGCTGAGATCAAGCAGCTCTGTGTTGCCTCCAAAGATATATTTCTTCAACAGCCCAATTTGCTTGAATTAGAGGCACCCATCAAGATTTGTGGTATGCCATGTACAATTTCATCTCTGTATATCTCTGTTTTTTAGCTATTTTGGGGTTTGTGTTTGATGGGTCGAATGTTTTCGGCGAAAGTTGCTCAAGAAGTAGGGCAGCTGATATAGTAGAAGATGATGTGGTAGAAGAGCCATTGATATAAGAGGGTTTGTTTACAACTGAAGTGACAGAGTAGTGGTGGGGGAAGATGACCCATATTTATGCCAATGTAGGATGTGAGTTGTAAGTAAGGTCATCTTGTTGAAAAATTCGAGTACTTTGATGTTGCTAAGCTTTTCAATGGAGGCTGAATGATTCATAAGGGAAGTGTTGATTTTGCCGAGAGGATTCAGATTACCTATCTACCTACTGTTTTCAATGGAGGCTGAATGATTCATGGGGAAAGTGTTGCTTTTGCCGAGAGGATTCAAATTACTTTTCTACCTACTGTTTTATTGCTGAAACTATGAAAGCAGGAAAAAAGAAAATTTGGGCTTATACAATCTGAAAAACAAGTGCCTGTCTCTCAAATTCTGTGACAAATAGGAGTTGCTCATTGAGGACATTATTGTTTGTTTTACATAGGAAATACAACTTTTTTATTTAGGCCACTGCAAAAAGCACCTATGGTTTCCTACCGGGACAGATGTGGCATTGATATATCCAAGCTGTTAAATGGAACCTCTTGGAGGCTATTTGCACCAACGTGATTCTTTCCACAACAATGCTATTTTGATTATTATTAATGCACTTCCAGCCAAAAGCATGATTGGAAATCATGCTTTTGTTATTAATGTGAGAAGTTAACTAAAATTCTCTAAGTGGTGAAGATAAAGCCATGTTTGTTATGTGTTTTATCATGTAATGAAATGGTAGCATGCAAGTGGCATTAGGGTTATATACTATTTCATCAAAATCCTACTTCTTAGGACATAAGTACTTGGATGGGCTTGAGGGTGCACTAGCATGTGAAAATTAAGGTCATTTCATTCATATACCAGTCTACAAGAAAACTTGCAAGTTCTACCGACTTTGTCTGTTATCAAGTTTTATGTTTTCTTCACCATTTCAAGATTTTTGCTTTTTATTTGAACTTATTAAAACTATTAAGATGATCTTTCTGACTTTATTATGTCTTCCTTTGTGGTTCAGGTGACATACATGGGCAATATAGTGATTTATTACGGCTTTTTGAATATGGTGGTTTTCCACCTAATGCCAATTATCTATTTCTAGGGGACTATGTGGATCGCGGCAAGCAAAGTTTGGAAACAATATGTCTCTTGCTTGCCTATAAGATAAAATATCCCGAAAACTTCTTCCTTCTTAGAGGAAATCATGAGTGTGCTTCCATTAATCGGATATATGGATTTTATGATGAATGCAAACGGCGTTTTAATGTGAGAGTATGGAAGGTTTTTACAGATTGTTTTAATTGCCTTCCTGTGGCAGCTTTAATAGATGACAAGATACTGTGCATGCATGGTGGTCTTTCCCCTGATCTGACAAATTTGGATCAAATTAGAAACTTAAGTCGTCCAACTGTTGTTCCTGACAATGGTTTGCTCTGTGATTTGCTTTGGTCTGATCCTGGTAGAGATTCTAAGGGATGGGGGATGAATGATAGAGGGGTTTCATATACCTTTGGACCAGATAAGGTGTCAGAGTTCTTGACAAAGCATGATTTGGACCTTGTCTGTCGTGCCCATCAGGTTATTGCTTTGTTTCTCATTTTGTTCTGCTAACCCTTTTTACTTGTTTCTGGTGCTAAATTAATTATTTGGTTTAGGTTGTGGAGGATGGATATGAATTCTTTGCAGACAGGCAGCTTGTCACTATATTTTCAGCTCCTAACTACTGTGGTGAATTTGATAATGCTGGTGCATTGATGAGTGTTGATGAAAACTTGATGTGTTCATTCCAGATTCTCAAACCTGCAGAGAAGAAGTCTAAGTTCATTACGTCGGCAAAAATTTGACACCCCCTTGCATAACTGCTCTGGGACTAATTAAGGTAGCTGAATATATCAGTTTATTCTGCTATGTGGATCGCATGGTGATGTTGTTGGTAACAGTATTGGATATGCTCAACGGTTGCCATGCATGCTTGATGTTTTTTTTTTAATTATTTCCCCTCCTTATTAGGCTCCTCCCTGCAAGATCTACCCACCTTTTAGCAAAAGGAAGGGACCCGCACGCCCAACTCCCATTCCGGGGAAAAAGAAAAAGGAAAATAAGAGTTCTCCACCTCGATTGTCTGATTCTTTTTTTCCTTAAGAGCAGGATTGCATGAAGTCCATAACTTAAGTATCTTCTTTTCAAAATGATTGATCTGAATCTCATCAATTCTGTGCAGTCTCACCAAATTTGACTGTTCCTTCTTTAAAGCTAAACTGAGCCTCACCTATCTAATATGGCTATCATGTTGTGTCTAGTACAGGGCCTTGAACTACATTAGGTCATCATACACAGGTCATGCTGAAGTGCCGTACAGGCCCTTTGCCATGAGTAACAACTTGTGTAAGCATGATGGTGTTAATTTTGATAAGTTTCTGTTCTATGTTATACTCCAAATCACTCTTCATATGACATTTTTGAGATTACTGCTTCCCCTAGAATGAGTAGGTAATCCCTCCAGGAAGAAAGAAGTAGATTACTCAAAATTGGTACTTTATTGATTTGATTCTCACCGTTTATGTTCTTTTGACTATGTGCATGCATTATAAATATTAGATGAGACTATGATGCTAGCATCAATTAAAATAATCTGATATTATATTCCTCTCTTCTTGATCCTAGGCTGTTGTGAATCTATCTTTCACATTAAAATGAGATCATAGGTTCTCTTTAACTAAAAAATATGTATTGTACTTATTTGAAGATATTTTGGGTATTTTCAAGTGTTTGCTTGTTTTTCAAGTGTTGGGCGCCACTTGAAAAAGCATTTTTGATTAAAAAAAAGGGAATGTAACTGTTTGGATGAAGTTACTATGGTATAGTTTCTGTGGAGCATACATCAGTTATAGAGATGAATGGTTGCATCTCTATTTTGTTGCTCATTTCACTGGTTTGACCCCTATCCAGGCACTTACCCTTTTTCTCCATTCTGTCATGCAGATGCCTTTCCGTCTAGCTTGAGGAAACTGCAGAAGGCAAAGATTAGTAGCCTGAAAAGGTTTTCATAGTCTGTCTGATTGATATTGTTAGTAGGAAGAAAGTATCGAAAGTCATGTCCAGGAACAAATGTCATTTAGGGTATCAATCATGATCCTCCCTGCCCCATGTCTCTCCTTCGCCTTTGATGTCCTTTTTGCCTTTCATTTGTATGTTTTTGATCTGCAGTGAATGTGTACATATATTTAGTTCAGTAACTCGGTCCTTGGGTTGTGGCTACAAGCAAAAAAAAAAAAGCTATATTCATGTCATATTGTTCTTCGAGCTACGATGTTTCTTATTGATTTGAGTTATTTTGTATCGTTGACTTGGGTGCATTTTAGATGTTGAGAATGGGAGAGAGTTAATTGAGATTGTCCAGTCAGTTTATTTTCTTTTGACATGCTGCTATTCTTTCTTGGATGTGTCAGTTCCGAATGCTGAAGGTGTTAATAGTGGCATTTTACCACCCATAAATCATTTCGAAGCTTCTGGCAGATACTTTGTCTTTTGAAGATGAGATGTCCTGGATATATAAGGAGTAAGTTACACACAAATTCAAGCTAAGTTATGTAAAACCTTGAGGTTTGATTATAGTAGGTGGATTCAATTCATGATTTAGAAAAACAGAGAAAAATTATGAACAAAAAAATTATTTTTGGGTAAAAGATAACATTAACAAAAATTTGAGTACCAAACTGCAATTCTGCGTTTTAACCTATTTTTAGTGTTACAGTTTGCTGATGTTTTCTTTTTCTACTTCCTTCCTTCATATGAATTAAACAGCAATTATTTTCTTAATAGCTGTTGTCAAATCTAATAAAAAGTATAAATGTTATAATCAAAGACAGATAAAACAACATAATTATTTAAAATTAAAATTCTTATTTAGTTGTAAATTGTAATTAAGAATGCAAAATTTTATTTCTGTGATTTAATCTATTAACTTTTTATAGTTTAAATAAGATGAATGTTATTTATTTATTAAAATATGAACGAGAATAAATATAAAAAAATTAAGACTATTTGTTTATTATTATTAATGCAATGAAATTTATTTGTAATATAACTTCAATTTTAATTTTTTTTAAGTAAATTCATGTATTCATTAAAAAATAATTTGTAAATAATTACATACTAATTTGAACATATATGTCTTGTATAGAAAAATATATATCAAGTATTCAATTCCTAATTTGTACTATTTGTGATAATTTAATACTTTATAATTTGATGTTTTATTAATTTATTATTATTTTAAATTAAAAATTATTGTTTTAATCGAACAAACTAAAAATAAGAGAAATATTGAAAACCTTGAAAGGAAATCAATAATTTAACATAAAATAATAATTAAAAAACTAAAATCTTAGTAGTGAATTGTTTAAAGAATTACAAAAAAAAAAAAAAATTGAATGGAATAAGACTGTAATTTATCAAAATTTTCTGATTTTGCACATTAAGCAAAGGAATAAAAGATTCTTCATGATTATTGAAGGCGCCCACTTTCACCACCTCAATACACAAATTCAAAATTTTGCAATTTGGTTCTGTCTCTGGTAGGGTTTATTGCCTTGTTTACAAAATTTCTGAGTATTAGATAGGAAAAGTTTCTTCTTTGTTTCTCAATTTCCACAGAGCTCTCTCTACCACCAATAAATTTCCGGCAGAAGCTCAGGTTTTCTCCGGGAAATCTGTGAGATAGCGGCCGCGAAAATGATGAACTTGGCGGATCCGTCAATGGCGTTGCTCGCCGCAAGTGGAGGGGACACTGTAAAGCTCTTTGATGTGTCGATGGAGCCCGGCGATCCCTGTGTCTTGAGCTACACTCCGTCTCCGGGTTGCCTTGTCAACTCAGTGAAGTGGAACCACACTAGTGAGTCACTGCCGGTTCGCCTTTTTCTTTTAATGGAATTCATTTATGGAGCCTATCAAGATGTCAAGCCTCTTTTTTTTTTTTAATTTGAGTACACATTTTCTTTTCGTCTTTGTATAAATAGTGTTTTTTGGTCGATGAACAAATCGAAGACAAGGAGGGAAGTGAGTGTTTTGCGTGTTAGATCTCTTGATATTCTCTCCAGATAGATTTTCTAATTACTATACTGGTTTTGAGTTTATTGTTTAAATTAAAGTTTTTTAAATGATTGTGTGCGCTTGCGTTTTCTTAGTAACCAGAGATATCGTGCATTGGAGGTATTAACTTCTCTCGTCTCTGTAGAATTACGATTTATTCCATTGATCATGAAACGGAGTGGAAGGAAGGTAGAGCATCTAGAGTTACGTGTTGAATATTTCTGCTTGGTTAGTCAGGTTGAGTCCTAAAATTTAAATTATCAATTTGAAATTGGGGTTGAATTTTTCTTGCTGTTATTCTGCATTTATAATATGGTGGCTAGAAAGAATGTGAACTCCTTTTGTTTTAAGTTTAATGGAAATGCGGATGTTGCAGATTTAGTTGTAGCTAGTGCTGGAGAAGACAAGAGGATTTCGTTATGGAGGAAAAATGGGCACAGCATGGGGAGCATTCCTGTTACTGGGACTGATAGTGGAGACAGCATTGAGGTAACAATCTTCTAGGGGCAGATAGATGTAACAACTTAAGGGTTTCATATGTTGTGGATGAGTACATGCTAATTGGGTTCTTAGAATTAGGGTGATTTTGAGTAGTTTCAAATGGTTTTTGTCTTCTGAAGCACTAAGAGAGACAGGGGAGCTCTTCTGTTTGTAGGCTTCTGTAGCTACTTCTGATATTATGATTTGGTGCTCATGACTCGCCAGTCAGAACTAAGCCTGGAACTGAGACCTAGGTTTGCCTGATCCATCAATTTTTGGAATTTTTACAAGATGATTGACTATTCCAAATCCTCTAGTTTACGTTGAAACACGCAGTACTGAAATCAATTTTTAACTTTCAGTGATCTTATGGTTTTAAGCAATTATTTTTTAAGGTTGTCTTTTGGTTCCTAGAAAGTAATCATTCATCATGCCTGGGCCCTGCCACTTACCTAGCAACTTAAATTATTTTGGAGCTGGACTTTTTTCCAATTACCAAGTTAATGCTGGATTTCCCTCCTTAATATGCAGGAATGTATATTGGCTATTAGCTTTGGCAACAAGGGATCTAGGTACATATGTTCTGGGGGAACTGGTCGGGTTGTAAAAATATGGGATTTACAGAGGAAGCGCTGCATTAAGTGGTTAAAAGGTCATACAAGTACCATAACAGGTGCTGTGTACAATTGCAAAGATGAACACTTGGCTTCTATTAGTCTAAGCGGGGATCTTATCGTACACAATCTTGCATCAGGAGCAAGGGCCGCTGAACTGAAAGATCCTAATGAGCAGGTTGTTCAGTTTGCCGTATTTGAACTATGCGTCTGTTTGTACTTTATTCCCATTTTCTGTGCTAATTGTTTGTCTCACAAATTTAAGATCAGGTACTGAGGGTGCTTGATTATTCACGTATTAGTCGGCACCTTTTGGTGACTGCAGGTGATGATGGGACAGTCCATTTGTGGGATACAACTGGCCGTAGCCCAAAGGTTCGTATTTTATGTTTATTTTTGATAAATGCAATTTCCCACTTCTGCCCATTTTCTTGTTAAAGATGAAACAAGCATAGATATTATGTCTGTTATTACCGAATGAGTTTTGTGCTTCATTGGGGTTTTCAGTTCAAGAGCGATGTGTAGTCTTAAACTAGTAGAATTGTTGGTATTGGTATTATAGATGCAAAGGAGAGTACGTCTTAACACCTTTATTTATTTTTGGATATCTTTTATGTACTGGTGAATCTTTTAACTTTTCCTTTTAGTGGAGTAAACATGTTTGAACTTGACCTAGGAATATTCTTACACAGTTTTGTTCTTTATCCTTTCATTCATCATATCTATGAAATAAAAAGTCATAGTCTTATTTCTTGTAGCAATTTTTGATCACCTTTATCTTTCACAGGTTTCTTGGCTGAAGCAGCATTCTGCACCAACTGCCGGTATTAGCTTCTCACCATCAAATGATAAGGTCTTATATCTTTTACTGAGGTCTTTAAACACATTCATACGTTTCTCATGTAGATCAGAAAACTGAAATTTGCATTTAAACCTTCTTTTTTTTTCTTTAATTGGAAAAATATATCTTTCAATTTTTGCTTGTGACAGATAATTGCCAGTGTTGGGCTGGATAAGAAGCTATACACTTATGATTCAGGTTCTAGAAGACCCTCATCTTACATTGCTTATGAGGCACCTTTCTCGTCATTGGCATTTAGAGATGATGGTTGGGTGCTGGCAGCTGGAACCAGTAATGGTCGTGTGGTATTCTATGATGTCCGTGGAAAACCACAGCCTTTTACTGTCCTGCGTGCTTATGGTAGTTCAGAGGTAAGTTCCCTGATTTATGCTTCCATGTTGCACTAATATGCCAACATATAAGATTTGATATCTCTTCATCCTAGCTTGCTAGTAAAATATGCTGGTGTGGCCCTAATTGGGTGTACTTATGGGTTTGAAGGTAAGGGCTCAATAAGAAAGAAACCTTCAATCTCTTAATGATAAGGACTCATTAAGGGAGAAGCCTTCAATCTCTTTAAGGGTTCTTTAAGGGAGAACTCTTCAATCTAAGTTCAGAAAAGAAATCACACTTTTTTAGACAATTTTTGCTTATCCTTTT